AGTTATTCATTGTCCTGCGACTGACCAGTCCCCCCCCCCCCCCAAAAAAAAAACCTTTGCTTGAACAAGTGATCTCTTCCTGGGGCTACTTTTTTCTCCCATAGCACAGGGGATCCTTTAAAAATATCAAAGAAAAGTAGCCAGTTGATTAGTATTTGACTGTGCAGCTGCTGCCTGAAACTGACCAGACCCTAATCAGTTTGACACTAAAGGCTTCTGTTTGCCGCTATTTTTCCAGCCTTTCTCGCCGCAACGCTTCCGGGTTCCTCCAGCATATCTTTATTTTTCTGATGAGCTGGTAATCCTAAACACATTTAACATCCATAAATATGGTGGGTTCAGATGTTGCACATTTAGCTTGGATTTAGTCCATTATGTGAATCCATCCAGAAGTAGTTTATTCAGCAAACCATAATTGCACTGTGGCTAAGCACATAATATGTGGGGCTATGTCCCTAATCATTGGCAAGATGGAAAATGGGAATCTTTGTGCAAGTCCTCACTAATCCCAGTCACATTTTTCAGCATAAATTTGAAGTCACTACATGAATGGTTGCAGGTTGAAGACTATATGTAGAGCCTATTTTAGATTTCCCATAAAATTTAGTTACTTCAGGCATCATGGAAAATTGAAAGTGGTGGTTTATAAACTTTAATTGGTTGCCCATAGCCATTTATTAAGGCAAGAGGTGGTGAGACTGTTCTGTGTTGAAGAGTTTGGAGTCCTTACAACAGGGGTGTCAAACTCAATTTCATTGAGGGCCGCATCAGAATTGTGTTTGACCTAGGGGGGCCGTGGCCAGAGTTGGTATGGCCAGCTTGATGTCACTCATGTTGGAGGCGCCTTTGGTTGCCTGAGCACTCTGCCAGCGAAACAGGCTCCCGAGCTCTGTTTTTGGCTGACTGCCTCCTGCAACCCTCTGACAGCGAAAATGGAGCTCGGGAGGGCCTTGAGTTTTACATCCCTGCCTTACAGCTTCTCAAGTTATTGAATATTGATTACCTCCAGGCTGAATTGCTAGACCATAGTTTGCCAAATAAGCCACAGTTGCCTGGATCCACACATTGCTGTAAATGTAGTCCATTAATTTAAAACAAAACCAATTAAAATTATTCTAGAACTTTCAGAACTTATTTTCTTTAGTATTCTAAACCAGGAGTTTCCTAACTTGGCAACTTTAAGACATGTGGACTTCAACTCCCAGAATTTCTTAGACAGTCAAGCTGATTAGGAAATCCTGAAAGCGGAAGTCCACAAGTCTTAAAGTTGCCAAGTTTTGAGATCCATTTTTTTAAATTAATCACTAATACTGAGGACAGGATAAAGGCCAAATTCTTTTCTACTATAGCTTTACCATAACCTCTATGACTCTTGAGCCAACATACTGAAGCGTTGCTTTTAGAAAAAGTCACTACATTGGGGCCTCCAGACATAAGACTCCAATGGAAGGAGTAATGTTGCTTGCAAATTAAATTATTTCTGTAGATGAAAGCTAAAACAGGATATTAATTAGATAGCGTATTGGAAAACATGCTGCTGTGGAACCAAATGTCAGCCTTTTTAGATTGAGGTCTTTGTAGTGCTATGAGAAAGGATGAAATGAAATCCCCCTTTCATAATGAACCCTGGGTGCTGATCACTCTAAATAAGCATCTAGATGAAAATTCTGCATTAAGTGATTTGAAATGGAGAATTTCTGGGTGCCAGGAGATACTTATCTTTGCCCATGAAAGTGCAATTGCCTATTAATTCTCCTATGTGCTGCTTGGAGAGTCCAAGCATGGGTTAAATTCAGTCTATTCACCCAAGGACTGAGTTGAAATTCTTAACCACGACTCCTCATTGAGGTCCAGTTCAAAAACTCAGTCCAGCCCGATTCGGACACATTTTGGGGAGCTCTTCGGTTCTTGTGCGAATAGACTGGGACTCTCCATTAGTTAGTTTAGATTTTCTTCTTTTTGTCGTTTGCTGAGAAATACTGCTAGGAAAATCTTCGAGCTGTTTTAAAGATCGCTGGTGAGGCTTTTGAATTTCCAGGTCCTGCAGAGTCTACCATCGTCGCGTTTGTCCAGCTGCTATTAGGCGAACGTGGGGGAAAGTAGGAGGCTTCCTGTCCCCCTGGCTGTCTTCACCTTCATCTGCGGCTGCCCGAGTCCTCGGCGGAGGCTCCGGTTTATGCCTGACAGTTCCCTGAGCATCCGAGAAGTGTGGTGGCCATTTTGAAAGTGTTTTTTGTGCGCTTTTCGCTGCCGGCCATTTGGAGTTGCCGCCCTTTTCCTCCCAGCCTGCAGATTGCTGCAAGGGAGTCTTTGGCCTTCATTCGGGGCTCCGGCAAGACTTCCTCCCTCAGGACCATCTATATTGCGGCCTAGGAGAGTTTTGGCCGCCTGGTCATACTCCTGTCCCACAGACATATCTGCACAGCGCACAGCAGTTCCCAGCTCGCGCCGGTCCAGCCTACTGCCTGCAGAGTCTCCCTGAAGGGCCGTGAGAGTCTGTCTTCGATCCGGCTGAAGAACACCATGGCTGACAGTGGCAAGAGGGCACCAGAGGAACATCCTGCCTCCTCGCCAAAACGCAGTAGGCCAGACCCTCCTGTGATGGAACAGGGCAGTAAGGGCACCAAGGGAAAGGGGATCCCTAATCCCAGAGGCGGCAAGGCCCTATCTAGAGCTGAGGCCCGCAGACATAAAGCCCCAGAGA